TGCAGCTGGTGGCGTCCGGGGCTACCGTGTGGCGAGTGGCCGCGACATCGTGTCCCTGAGCGCTGGGGCGAGTCCTGCTTCCCTGCTCCGGGGCTGAGAGCGAGGACTTGGGGCAGCACAGACCGGGCTTTGCCCTGGTCAGGAGCCTTGTATCTGCACGCTGGGGCTGGAGGTTGTGTTTCCACCCTGTGTTTCGAGTGCCCGGATTTCCAGAAGCTGCCCAAGAAGAGTGGGAGAGGCCGTTTGGGGAGATGCTGTCACCCTTTGCCGTGCTCAGGGACCCGCAGGCCTTACATCCTGCTGCTCGGGGAGGGACCTGTGTGCATGAGGTCCTGTTTTTGGGGTCCCTGCTGTGCCAGAGCCTCTCGGTGAGCTGCCCCACGTGCAGTCCCGCACGAAGGGGAGCGGGTCTGTAGCTGGTTGTGTTTTAAGGGTGGCCTGTGACGTACTGAGGTGATGTGGCCTCATGAAGTGGCCTGGGCTCAGTGCATGGAGATGCCACACGTGGCTCTGTCCAGGTCATGGCTTGGGGGTCAGCCAGAGTAGGACTGGGAGCTGCGCTGGGGAAGTGGTTAACCCAGCCACAGATCCTCACTGAGACGTGTTGAGCGCAGGATTGAAAAGGTGTCTTCTGCTGGGTGCTGTGGTCAGTGTCTGTTCTCTGTGCCCTCGCTGGCTGTGGGTGAGGGGGGACCACGCTTGGTCAGAGCAGCGATGTGGCAGAGTCCCCTGCCCTGCAGGCAGCTTTGCTCCGAAGGCTGCCACTTGACCCGCTGGGCCGCTGGCTTTTATGATCCTCACTCTCAGTTAATTGGAAGAGTCCTTCCAAATGAAGGGGAGGAGACGCTTGTGTCAGCCCAGAGGCACAACATACTGCGCTGCCCTTACAGACTCCTGCAAGCCACCGCTGAGGCACTGCTGGCCTCCAGCCCAGGGCAAGGGTTGTCACCTCCCCAGGGTGGGAGCACATGCTTCCAGTATGGAAGGTCTTCCTTCTCCCCTCTGCCCTGGAGCACACGGCCTTTCTGTGCCTTTCATACTTGTCCTTAACCTTGTTCTTCTTCTGCTGGAGTTTTCTTCCCCTTGGTGCTCTGTTCTCCCTGACCCACCTGAGCGCTCCCCTTGTTCTGGGGCTGTTTCGGTCTCCTGCTGGTCTGTAAAACGCATCTTTCCTGTCTGCTCTTTTGCAGACTGTGCTCAGAGGGTCGCAGTGAAAGGTAACGTCACCCAGCTGGTCACGCAGAAATCCCGCGTTTTCCCCCTCCTGCCAAAGCTTTTGGCATTTGCTTCTCAGGTTGTAACAGCTGCCATAGGAAAAGGGATGTGTCACTTCCCAAGCAGTGCTGAGACGCTGTTGGGTTCAGAGTGACAACTTAAAAGCTCCAGGGAGCAAAGCGGGTGCTGCTGCTGCTGCTTCGCTGCCCCCCATTCCCGGCGATGCTCTGGTCTTCCTGTGGTGCCCTGGTCCCTCTGCCATGCTCTTGTCCCCACTGTGATGCTCTGGTCTCCCCTGCCATGCTTCAGCCCCAGGGCAATGCTGCAGGAGGGAAGCTGCAAAACAGACCCTGAAATCTGGGCAAGAGAAGCAATGTGTAGAAGCTTGGCTTTTTCTAATTAACACCCACCCCCAACAGCAACAAAACAAACCAACAACTAAGTCAAATAAAGTCTGCACACATCCCTTCCTGCTAAAACACATCAGAGTTTCCTTCGTGGCTGTGTTTTTACTCTCAGTGAAAAGGTCTTGTTCCAGGTGGATTTATATCTCATAAATCACACCGTCAGCTCAGGACTGCTGCTCAAGAGCTGTGTGGAAGCCAGAGTCATTACACAGTGACAGGCAGTAGGTGTTTAGTAGCCCCTGAGCTTCATCTCGGTGTTTAAAATGAGGTACTCACCATTGAAGATGATTAATTGAACCATTTTGTTTCAGTTCGTCTTGGGCTCTGGTGGTGGATGTGGCAGGAGCTTCTCTAGAAGCTGTTTCCTTGTTCCCACTCAGCCCCCGGGTTGCACAGGTCTCAATTGCTCCTTGTCAGGATGTCTTCAGTTGCTCGCTACATTTTCCTTTCCTCTTGGTGTCCATATTAATGCTCGCCTGGGGATGCCGTATGCTTCCACTGCTGTTAAGTGCCTGCATGGTAATATATTAGTCTTCATTTAAAACCTTACCTCAGAAACGTTCAACAGCACCTAAAAAGTAAAAAAGAAAGCCCATGGGCTCTTGTTGTTTCTAATGGAGTTGGGAGCAATACAATGGAAATATGCACTTTGCATAAAGAACTCAATTAATTGAGCAGCTTTGCCTTTAGCTTCTCTGCTCCCTGCAACTTTCGGCTGGCAGCTTCCTCCTTGTCAGGTTCCCTGCGCTCAGCTCCCTCCCAGGGCTCAGCTTCGTGCCACTTCTGGCTGCAGGAGCCTGTCCATACTGGCAGAGCAGCTCAGGGCTTGCTGCTGGGACGGCCCTGCCAGCGCCCGGAGAGCTGGAACCATTTCCTAATGGTTCCTTACATGGTCCCCTGGGCTCGGGCCAGGCAGGCTGAGCCCAGCACTGGGTTTGGTGTCTGGAAAACCTTGGCATCCGAGTCAGGTTTGTTTCAAGTGCCTCCAGCGAGCATCATTAGGTGGGGAGGGTTGGTTAGAGATACGCTGTTGGGCAGATCTCTAAGCTGCCGTGGTGGGGGCATCTGAATGGTGACAGAATAACCTGCTTTAAGCAGAGGAGCACCGTGCTTTCTCTGTGAGTAACTGGGGTGGTCTCTGTGTGTTGGGAGCTGCTGGCGTGGTGCTGGCTGGTTCTCGCTCAGTGCCCAAGAGCTCTGTGTGCACATGTGTATTTGCACACGGGGGTATTTTCCCACCCCAGTCCAGAGAGCTCTTGAGCTTCCCAGGCAGCGTGTTACAGGGCAAGGTGACATGTCTGATTTGGGGAGCCCCGGGCACAGTGTCTTGGCAGATATTGTAATTATCTGTCCCTTGTCCCTTATCCCACTCCAAGCAGAGTGGGAATTCGGCTGCTTCTGGAGTGTGGCTGGGAGCAGCTGCCTGGCTAAGCGAGACAGCAAGGACAAGCAGGTTGCTGTCAGATGTTGCTCTGCTTTGGGATGGGGATTAAGAGCAGAGGAGGGTGAGTCAGGATCCCTTCTGAATTCCCAGCAGCAACACCTGTGTCCGTCGTCCCTCCTTCCTCCTACAGGGCCTCTCATCTCAGAGTGCTGAGCCTGGGCAGTAAAGGGGTCGCTGGAGGGGTTTCCATCTGGGAACAGGCTTCAGCAGCTTCCTGTGTGAAAGGAACGCAAAATCAACTCTTACAAAAGACTTTAGAAGGCAAAGGGTGATGGGTTCAAACTGAAACATGGGAGGTTCAGGTTGGATACAAGGGACAAGCTCTTCCCTGTGAGGGTGCTGAGGCGCTGGCACAGGGTGCCCAGAGAAGCTGTGGCTGCCCCCTCCCCGGCCGTGTTCAAGGCCAGCTTGGAACCAGGGGCTTGGAGCCACCCGCTCCTGGGGGCGGGGGTCGAGTGTGGCTTTAAGGTCCCTTCCACCCAAACCAGTCTGGGATTCTCTGCTTCTAAACCGCCGCAGGTAGTGCTGGAGGGCTGCAGAGCACGGTGTGCCTGGTGCTGCTGGCTCCATAGGAGTGGAAGAGCAGTTGAAAGAGTAGATGGCAAAAACTGGGTGGGAGGTTGGGAACTGGCTGCAGGAGATGCTGAATGGCCCCATGGTCTCCTGCCCAGACTCTGCTCCTGTGAGATGGTGGCAGAAGGAAGAGTTTGATGTTCCCCTCGGTCAGGGTCGTGCCCTGCCTGTAGGAAAGCACAGGGCATGATTTTAATTAAGAGTGAAGAAGCAGGAGTGTCCTGGGAGGCAAATGGAGGAGCCTTCCGAGTGCTGCGGTCTCTGTTTAGTCCCCACGTGTCTGAAAGCTTCTCAGAAACGTGTGGTTCAGAGATGGGGTTAGGACCCAGAATTTCCCTGGTGGCTCAGTGCTGCCTTCATGAAGGAGCTTCCAAACCCTTCTGTGCTGAAGGCTACGTGGAAAGGTGCCTTGTGGGACGTGCCTCCTCCCCAGCCTGCAGGTGTCAAGCAGCTCTGCCAGGAGAGTGCTCTGCACAACAGGCGGGTGAGGAGGAGCCTGCACCATGTGGATGCCATTAGTGTGGATGGGGGAGCTCAGCTCATCAGCCCGCTGTGAAAGTGCTCTCTGGATTGCTGACTTGCACATCAACCCCAGCGGCAGAGCTGGAGCTCGTGGTGCCCAGCTGAGGCTCACAGGGGGCGAGGAGCAGACCCGGCTGCTTGGCCTGGATTGGGGAACTTCCATGGGTTTTATAGAGCAGGGATCGCTGCTGTGTGCTGGGGAAGCTCCTCAGTGCAGGACGGGGCTGTACGGTGCTGCAGCATCTCCCGAAGGATGCTCGCCATCCTCAAAGTGTTCGTGGTGTTCTTGGGTATCGGTTTTAATCCCCTACTAAAATGGAGGGTTTCGTGTATTTCTGCAGTGGCAAAACGTGATGCTGGCAGGTTGCAGGTGCAACATGCATCGTTCCTGCACACGTAAGCAGTGTCATGCCCAGTTCCCCACCTGTGTGCCAGCAATGCCCTGAGAAAACCAGCGTGCCCTCTATGTCTGCTGATTTCTGCTCTAGAGCGAGGGTCTGACTCATTGCTGGGTAGCTGAAAACCTTCAGGACCAGTCCATGGCTGGTGTTAGAAGGTCTGCAGGAGCTTGGAGCGTTTGCAGGTCTCCTGGGAGGACATGGACGGTTTTATAGAGTCACAGGATCAACCAGGTTGGAAAAGACCTTTAAGATCAACCATTCCCAGCCCTGCCAAGGCCACCACTAACCCCTGGCACTGAGGCCTCGTCTACCCGGGCTGTGAACACTTGCAGGGACAGTGACTCCAGCCCTGCCCTGGGCAGCCTGTTCCAATGCCTGAGCACCCTCTGGGCAAGGAATTGTTCCTCAGCTCCAGCTAAACCTGCCCTGGGGCAGCTTGAGGCCGTTTCCTCTTGTCCTATCACCAGGACAAGGTTTAACGTGCGCGGGCAGTGCTTTGGATGTTGGCTGAGCAGAGGGTCAGGCTCCTGGCGTGCCTGATCCATGAGGCCTCAAAGAGACCATGGCTTGTCTCACTGCCACGTGTCCCTCTGCAGGGGTCCTGGTCGGCGTGGTCCTGCGCTACGGCATCCACGTCCCCAGCGATGTGAACAACGTGACGCTGAGCTGCCAGGTGCAGACCAGTCCTGCCACGCTGCTGGTGAACGTCAGCGGGAAGTACTACGAGTACACCCTGAAGGGGGAGATCAGCGCCCAGGAGCTCAATAACGTCCAGGACAACGAGATGCTGAGAAAGGTGAGGGAGCCGGTGACTGCAGAGGCGAGCGATGGTCACCTCCGTGGGGATGGCTCCTGTAGCTGCTGGGTTAAGTGAGTCTCTGTCTCTATATATTTAACTTCAGTCAGATTGCGATCAGCTATAAATTATAGTTGGAACACAAGGTAATGAAACTCTAGTTTCAGCTGATCCTAACTTAGGCTGTTTCGACGCTGAGCTGTGTCTCCAAAAGATCCCAGACGCATCCTCAGCGTTGATCCGACAGCGTTTCATCTGATGGGCGCACAGGCTTTCCTCCATGTGTTTTATGTGACATTCTTATCTGTGTGTTGTCTTGCAAACCATTTTACTGTTGTTTTTTTCTCTGTTAACAGGTGACTTTTGATCCTGAAGTGTTTTTCAACATTTTGCTTCCTCCAATTATATTTTATGCAGGCTACAGCTTGAAACGGGTACGTGCCTTTACAGCTCCTGTGTTTTCAGTTCCTCTGCCTCCAGAGCATTCCTAATACTTGAGAGTGCTTTAATGCTTGCTCAGCAGGCTGTGGAGCTGGTACAGTTTTCCTCGGTACATGTGGGATTGTAGGAAGCAGGGCTGAGAGTGCCCCAGTCTGTTTTGTCCATCCCTCTGCCCTGGGAAGGGTCAGTGACTTCAACCTTTCCCAGCCTGGGTTTGGCAGGGGTTTTGGGGGTCAGCTGGCCCATTTCAGCCTTTGAAACACATCAGAGGACGGGAATTCAGCAGCTCTCTGGAATGCTGATTTGGAAGCAGAGGAGAATGATCCTGTTTAGCTTGCAGGAGAAGGAAGGAGGAATGCTGCTGGGTTAGGAAATCAGTTCCCAGGACTTAGAACAGCACCTTATTAAATACACAGGTACAAGAAGATGATACATTCATGTTTATTAATGCTGCATCAACATCTGCTTGTCTGGCAGTGTACACCGATGGGCACCGTTCAGCCGTGCTGGTCCCGCTCATGGTGTCTGAGCAAGGTCCAAGTAGCTACAGACCCTGTGTGGTGCCTGTGCAGGCTTGAAGTAAACTGTTAGCAAACGTAATTCTTTATTTTTCTCCTCCTTCTAGAGGCACTTCTTCAGAAACTTGGGATCCATCCTGGCATACGCCTTCCTTGGCACTGCAATTTCCTGCCTGGTGATTGGGTGAGTAGCTGGAGCTGGTCTGGTTCTTGTGTAGGGCTTTGGAGGCTTCGAGAGCTCTGGCTGCTAAGCCCAGCCCTGAAGGATCACACAGGCTCTCTGCCTCTACTGCTCTGCAGCAGCAGATAATACTGTTCACTGGCCAAATGTCTGCTGTGTGGACAGGGTGATTGCTGCCTAATTGCATAGTGCTTTCTCAGCATCCCATACAGAATAGTTATACACCTGGCAAGGAGAGTTTCACACGTCGCTGAAGATTGTCTTGAAAACAAAGTCAGTAACTTCAAACCGTTGAGAGCACAGCCCCGACAAGCATGAGGCACAAGAGCAGAGGGCAGGATCGTAAACTCATGTCCTGTCCTTACTTGCTGGAAGCAGGTGCCTAGTGAGCACAGATTGTGTGTAAGATTATCCCTGTGTGCAGAGGGAGCTGGATGGTTCCTGCTCTGAATGGTAGCACACAGGCAGGCGTAGGGGGGTTTCCACTGCAGAGTCCAGTGGATTCAAGCAGACTCAGCATCTGCATTATCTGTTCCTCGCTGAAAGTTTTGGCCATTTCAAAGTCAGGCCAAGGTCACCCCACTGGAATGTGTTCACATGAAACACTGCAGAGAGGTCATGAGACCCCACGAGCCTGGCTGCTGCTTTTCTTGAGCCATGTTATGCTCATGGAGGAGTTTCCAGCCTGGTTCCTCTGGTGGACCGTGTGTGTGGTCCAGTGTGTGATGCAGCACTCGCCTCCCAGACCACAGCCCTGGGGTTTCACCACGCTCAGCTCAGTTCTTCCGTGCTCTGGCATCTGGATAACTTTAGGGGTTAATCTGGCAAATTCAGGGGAATGGAGCCCATTGGAATGTCATTTTAATGTACTGCAGGGATGAGTAATTGCCTCTTCTAATCACCAGCTCTGTCGTGTATGGCTGCGTGGCGCTGATGAAAGTCACTGGGCAGCTTGGGGGAGACTTCTACTTCACTGACTGCCTCCTATTCGGTGCCATCGTGTCAGCTACTGACCCAGGTGTGTTGGATGGTTATTTTCCCCTTCATTTTACCTACATTTTGATCTGGTTTGAGTTGTGGTGAAGAGGGGAAGAAAGTCTTCAACACAAGTTTCCTCCTTCTGAATTTTGGAGTTTAGTTTATGCGTGACATTCTTAGAGGTCACATTTGTCTCCCTGCCTTTTGATTTCCTTCCAGTTACATGTCATAGACCTTCCAAACCTCTGCTTTCCTGAATCTTTGTTTGCAGGGAAGTCCTGGGCAGTGTCTCTCTTGACTTCGCTGGGTTTTGGGACAGGTCCACCATGTCTCTGCCATCCTGTACCGGCAGCTGATGCAGCACAAGATGTGTCATGTGGGGAGGGTTCAGTTGGTAGTTTTAGTTAGTTTAGTGGTAATCATGGAATGGTTTGGTTTGCAAAGTGGGGAGCACCTCATGGGTGTGATAGACCTGATGGCAGATGGGCAGAGGCCAGGCAAGGACCATAGGTAGAAGTAACGCTTAGAAATGCTGCAGATGAGATGTTGGCGTGGTGTCCCTTCTTCAGGCTTCACAATAGGAACATGAAGATTCCCCAGGTAAAAACGGAGCATTTCCCTGTGCATAAATGTGTTAAACCCCCTTCAGTGTGTGCACAGCTGAGTCCCTGAGTGCTGCTTTAAAGGACTTTGATTGGAATTAGCTCAGCCCTCTGCAGCAGCCTGAGCTGTGCACAATGCACCACGTGTTACATCTCGCTTGCTCTAGATGTTTGATGCTTTTACAAGGCTGATACACAAAACCTGCTGCGTTTTCATTACCTTCTTGGAGCTGCTGGATCACGGAAGGGCTTGAGAGTTCTGTGATCTATGGCATGTGGCTGTAAAAGACACCCTCTGATGCCCGGCTTCCTCCAGTTAGGTCTGAAACATTAGCATGTCTGTGCTGGCACTTCCACTGTGTCAACCTGTGTTGAATCCAAGGATTTCTCTTGGAGTATCTGAGATGGAAGGAAAAGACAGGCATTGTCCTGGACAAGCTTGCATCCTACTGGCCTTCTGTGTATGGAGGAGGGCTCTCCCTGACACACCATGCTAAAGGCTTCCCAAAAGCTGGGTGGCTTGTGTTAGCGTGATACTGTGGTCCATGGTCCAGTCCATGAGCTCAGACCTTCAGGAAGCTCAGAGCAGAGTTTGCTCGTGTCTGCCTGCTAAAGACTCAGCAAACCCAATGCCCAGGATGTGTTGAAGTAAAGGGAGCAGGAGGGAAATGATAAAGCAAATCCCAGTCTGAAAGGGCGGAAGGAAGACTGTCGAAGGGAGCAGGAGGGGTGGCTGGCACCGCCGCAGCAGTGGCACAGATGTGCAGGAAGGCAGCTTTCTAAACCAGAGCGTTTTGTCTTTGATTACACCAAAATAACGGCACCTTTTTGAATGTCTCTCTTGTTTTTCTATTTGTCAGTGACTGTTCTTGCCATATTCCATGAACTCCAGGTTGATGTTGAGCTGTATGCCCTGCTCTTTGGCGAAAGCGTCCTCAATGATGCCGTTGCCATAGTGCTGTCTTCGTAAGTGTGGTGTTTTCACTTTCAATTGTTATTTATGTTACGTGTCAGGTGTTGGGGGAACCACTCGGCCTCGCTCCTCTAAAACAGGTGTTTGCAAGAGCAGCTTTCCATTTGAAGTGTCCCGAAAAGCTGTAGTGACCTATTGACCACATTGGAGACTGCAGCTTGGGATTGCGGGTTGTCCTTCCAGCTTCCCCCTGCATGATGGATAGTTTTGGTTTGCTTTTATGGCTGGTTGACCCAACCAGGAGGAAGTTTTTCTGTCCCTCTGAAATGGGAAAAGCACCCTGTCTGCTTTTAAGCCCCACTGAAACCCCTTGCTGATGGCTTTGCTCCTCCCTGCCTGCCTTCCCGTCCACAAATACCTGCATTTGGTGAGGGGGGGAATAGTTTCTTTTCTCTCCCCACTTTCTGTGCATCAAGAAGATGGTATTTCTTATGGAGTTAATACCCTGCACTGAACACATGGGAAACTTGCTGCCTTTCTAAAGGATGTTTGCTATTCTTTAATATCTTATATCCTCAGCATGCAGGACGTACTCGATCTGCGTTTTCACCGTGTTGTCATCATGGGAATTTGTTTGGCAGTATATAATATCTGCAGTGGTGACAGGTTAACGTATAGCTCAGACTAATGCAGGAAATATTTCTGGAATACTTGTCACTCCAGCGTGCTGCTTGCGTGGGTTTTCCTGAGGTGGAGGCAGCAAATAACATCTTGTGAGCTGCGTATCACCACCCGCACGTGTTGTAGTCACTGACTTGAGGGTTTCTGTTGAGGTTTCTGGAGCTGTTGGTATTGCTCGCTCTGGTTTTTATGCTGGATGTGCCACCGCTGGTGTGAGGGTAAATGCTGCACAGGCAGGTCCTGTTTAAGAAGTAATCCCAAGTGAGGAAGGGATGGGGTCTTCCAGCCTGTGCTGGGAGGGATTAGCATCAGAGCGATGTTGTGGTGCATCTCCACACACGCAGGGGACCGTGATTTGCCTCTCGCCCTGTTTCAGTACCAGCTTTGTAGCTGTTGCTCTGATTTCCTGCCTTCCTCTTCCCACAAGCTGAGTTCCATCCACCCCCTCCCTGAATTAAGGTAATTTGCACCAAAGCAGCAGCTCTGACCTGCAGTCAGCAGTTATTTTGCTGCAAGGCTTTTGTGCAGCCCAGCCCAGCAGCATGTTGACCCGTCAAGGGCTCCTCAGCAGTTAACCTGTTTCAAAGCTTGCCATGGCCTTTGTCTTCACGGTCACTGTAAGCAGCGTAGGGCAGCCCCCGTCAGCATGGTGGGTATTGGTCAGTGCAGGTGTCTCAAGGGCAGCCTCGAGTCACTTGGACACAAGCACTTCTTGGGTGCAAGGAGGAGAGCTCCTCCAAGAGCAATCCCTGTGCCAGGGGAGGACAAGGAGCTGGGACTCCTTCATTGCTTCTGCCAGGAGCTTGGTGCCTGTGAGGCTCCTCTCCCTGCTTCCAGTCCCAGACAAATGTCTGTTCCTGTATTTGAGGAGCAGGATCCACTGCTGGTTCCTGTCTTTCTGTTCCTGCCTCGTGTAGTCTTGGTCTGGTCTGGCTTGGTGGCTGGGAACTGGCTGCGGGATGAAGAGGAACTGAACACAGAACCGAAAGCCGGTGGGCAGCGAGGTGCTGGGGCTGTGGTTTGGGAGCAGGGAGGTGAATGCAGCTGCAGGTTCTCTATCTGCTTCTTCCCCGGGGAGGTTTCGCGGGGACTAAATGCCACAGAGACCCCCATGGGCAGGGACAGGGGGAATAATGCTGGCAATGACGTATTATTAGCGATGCAGAAAGCAGAACCAGAAATAAAACTGTAAGATGTTAAAATGTAAACCCAGCGTCCAGTCAGTCAGTTACGGAGGGGAAATGAAACCAGTCTGGGTTTATAAAAACAAAACCCCAAGCCCCAGAAGAAGAGCACGTTGGTGAATGGGAAGTGTAAGATGGGATTAACAAATGAAGTTAAATCACAGGGAGAAATCTTGCAGTGTAAAAGACAATGCAGAAGAATGAAAGGTGTTGAAAGCAGGGAAGTTCAGCAAGGGAAGTGACCCCTGGTGCTGGTGTGTGGTTAGGGGAGAAAGCTGCAGGATGTGTGCATGAGGCAGTAACTTTCCGTTCCAGCAGAACTCGGGAGGTTAAACAGCAAATGTTTAAAGTTCACATCCAAGAGCTTTAACAGGTCTGGCTGAGGGATTGCTGCCTGGAAGTTAATGTTTTCTGTATGTTTACATCCAAGCAAGTGATGTAAGGAGTCGATAAATGGGATTTAGAACCATAGAATGGTTTGGGCTGGAAAGGACCTTAAGATCATGTAGTTCCAACCCCATTTAGGAGATGGATAAAGGCCCCCCTGTATCTCAGCCCTTCCAATTAACACAGTGGAAGATGCAAGGCCCAGCTCACCAAGAGCTAGGAGGGAGCAGACCTATTCACCATCTCACTACAAAGGCCTTTTGAAGTTTGGTGGATGAAGATGAGTGTTGCTGTTGTGAACCAGCACTGTGCCCATTGACTTCCTACCCTGCAGTATTTCACTTCAGAACTCAGAACAGTGCCAAATAAATGTAGTGCACATTAAATGTGGTAAAGCAGCATAACTTATAGTTCTCCAGGGGATATTCACATCAGCACCTCTATGGAGTCAATGGAGAAATGTAGTCTTCCCACTTGAATGCTTTGTGGTTCCAGAGTGCCTGACTTTATAGAGCTGGTGCCAAACCCCCAAAATCCCATCATAAATGATGAGCTGTCACTTAGCAAATGCATTTGCAGGAGATTGTGCAAGAGATGGGCTTTGGTTTGATGCTCTCTAATGTCTAGAGCGAGCAAATGCAGAGCTGTGCCTAGGAGGGGTGGCTGAACAGCAGAAAGCTGGTCAGGAGCGAAGGGGATCCCAAATTCCCTGCGATAGGGTGGAAATGCTGCTGCTGCATGCTGCGATCCCAAAGGAATTGCAGTGTGGGACTCGGGTTTTGTCTCCCTGGTTTCTCAGGCTCGGTGTTGGCAGCGGTGGTGGCTCATGGAGCTTCGTGGAGGTGCCTCTCCCCCCAGACTAAGGGCTGTTTTGTTCTTGTGTGTGCTTTTCCTCCCTCTTGTAGTTCAATTGTTGCGTACCAGCCAGCGGGTGACAACAGCCACACATTCGATGTCACAGCGATGTTCAAGTCCATCGGGATCTTCCTGGGGATATTCAGTGGCTCTTTTGCAATGGGAGCAGCTACCGGAGTTGTGACAGCTTTAATATCCTTTCTGTTGTCTTTTTCCAAGTGTTTGCAAAACTGCTTCTTTTGCTGGGCTGCATCTCACCCAGGTGCAGCGTTGCATGATTCTTTGCCTTAATTCGGGAAAGGCAGTGCCATAGCTCGCTTTGGGGCAGGTCTGTAGTGCTGCTGTGATGCACAACTGGGTTTGATAAGCTTTTAGCCGCCAGTTTCTCTCCAAATTGTCCTTAACCATCTGCAACGTCACCAAGTTCACCAAACTTCGGGAGTTCCCGTTGCTGGAGACTGGCTTGTTCTTCTTGATGTCCTGGAGCACGTTCCTGCTGGCTGAAGCATGTGGCTTTACAGGCAAGCTCCAGCACAGCCCTGTGTCGGGGATGGAGATCTGCAGGGATGACGGGGCTGTTGAGTTTTGCTTCTCCCAGCATTGATTGCAGCCGGAGCTCTCTCCCTCTGCTTTATTTATTCTGGGGTTATTGTATTAAATCCCCTGTGCTATTGGGGTGCAGCTCAGCTCCCTTTTCATGATCAGGAGTCTAACGTGATGCTCTGCTCCCCAGGTGTGGTGGCTGTGCTCTTCTGCGGGATCACACAGGCCCATTACACCTATAATAACTTATCTACAGAGTCCCAGCACAGAACTAAGCAGGTGAGAGCTCTTCAGCCTCTGTGAATTTCAAGTTCAATATCTTTTCCTTCCCTCTAGCCACAATTAGGTGCATCTGTCTTGCTACAGATGGGTTTTACGAGGGTTGCTTCTGAAGAAGTATTTACTGTGTGATGGATGGGCTAATATGTGTTTCATGTTAAACCTGTGTTGTGTCTAACTTGCTTTTAATTTGTTTTTCTCTTTCAGTTATTTGAGCTGCTGAATTTCTTGGCAGAAAACTTCATCTTCTCCTACATGGGACTCGCACTGTTCACCTTCCAGAACCACGTCTTTAACCCTACCTTCGTGGTGGGGGCTTTCGTATCCTTTGGAGCCCATTTTATAAGACAAGAATAAGAAAGGGAGAGGTTCCTCATTCCCACGTTGTGTTTTTCTTTCCAATGGGTGGGTTTTTCTCAGTCAGCCTGGCTTTATTTGTAAAAGGGGATTTCTCCCATGCAGTGGTGCCTGTGCTGCTCATTTGAAGAGGATGGAGATTCTTTTCCCAGCTTTGCTTTTCTTCCCCATCTTCTCTCCCTCGTGGGCATTCAAATCAGCTGCTGCAGGGACTCGGTGTTCGATGTGAACATGGTGCCAAAGCTCCAGGCTGTGTCATGCACCAGGAGAGGCTTTGAGAATGGGGGTTGTTCCACCTGGTTAACCCTGAAAAAAAGCCTTTTTTTTGGTCTAATAGCACAGTTAAGGCTACAGTAGATGCCTGTGAGTGATGTTATGAGGAAGGATTTCCCCTTCTACAAGCCGATGCTAATGGAAACAAACTCTCGGCTCTGGTATGTCTCAGAAAATCAAGGATTTTGAAGGAATGTTTTCCATATCGCAGGGAAACTGGTTCAGACGTGCAGAATTGTTTGCACCCTGTGCCTGCACTGAAGTTTATCCTGCTGCAGATGACCTTGTTGTCTTTGCCAGTGCTGGCATGTAGGTTTGCAGCAGGGTCTACTGGATTCCCCTGTGAGCCTGGGGGATGGAGGGAGTGAAGAACATGGGGAATGCCATTTGGGTGGTTAGACTGAAACTGTGTCCTCTTCAGCAGTAACTGACTCACTGCTGAAATAGCTCATTCATGAGAGAGATCATGAAATATGTCTCTTATGCAAATTAATGATGTTCAGGACAGCACATGAAAGCTGGAAGCATTTTCCATATTATTCAAGGCTGCTCCGAATACTGGCTCCAAGATTATTTTTGCCATCTGGGTGCTGGTATTAAAAGACACAGCTTCAAAGATAAAAAGCAATATGAAGGGGCTGGTGATTCTTGTATCTTGCAGGCTCTGAAAACAGAACAAGTATTAGGTTCTCTTTTTTATCCTTCTCAACTGCTGCTGCTTTCATTTTGCTGAATAATCTTTGGGAATGAGACTTGGCTTAAAGCTTCAAACCCAGCTGTGAAGTGGGGAGTGCGAGGGAATGTCAGAGGGGTTGTGGTAGCTGTGATGACTTGAGCTTCACAGAGGACAAAGAGTCCTTGGGATGGAAAACAGAGCTGGCAGGGGGGAGCATACAGTGGGAAATGGTGGGTTTTCTCTCCTCTCACTCTTCTAAGCTGTCCTCTCATCATTTCACTTGTTTATCTGTGCTTGTCGCTGTGTGCTATTCCTGACTTGCAGCGTGTGCTGTGCTTTGGTGAGGCAGTAGCATGTTCTGCCCACTCTGCTGTAGCACTCCGAGCAGGGTTATTATCTTTGCAGCCAGAGGACCAGTGTTTCTGAGGCTCCCCAGCGTTTCCGTCTGCTCTGTGTGCAGAGGTGGGTTGTGATGGGAGGCATAGGAAGAGCAATTTCCTTAATGTGTGCAAATACAGCTTGCTATCTTCCTAGGAAGAGCTGCCAATATTTACCCTCTGTCATTTTTACTGAATTTGGGGAGAAGAAATAAGATTGGAACAAATTTACAGCACATGATGATGTTTGCTGGTACGTTATCGCATCCTCGCCTCCGACCGTGTGGCCCATCTGCACTTCCCTGCCCCTGAGCCCCTGGAAATAGTCCTTGTTCAACTCAAAGTCTCTTACGGGCCATGTCTGGAGAAGAGGCTGGGCAGGAAAGGGCTTCCTTTGGCGGGGTGGTGTGAAGACATTGTTTTGAGGTGTAGGAATGAGCTCTTCCTGCCTTGTGCTTCAGTGCGCAGCATGGAGCAGGAGGAGGGTTTGCCTTCCTGGGCTGGTGGTAACGCCAGCTCCAGAGCATATGCTTAAGCTGAAATCATCACTGTGGAAGTGCTGTGGTCTCCTCCAGTGGTGGATATCTTTGAATCCTAGAACGGTTTGTGTTGGAAGGGACCTTAAAGCTCCTCCAGCTCCACCCCCTGCCCCGGGCAGGGACACCTTCCACTAG